GGTCCCCACGGGGTCGAGAAACAAACGTGTGTGTGTGTGTGTGTGTGTGTGTGTGAGTGAGTGAGTGTGCATGCGTGCTTGCGTGCAGTCACATGTCATTCATGTGTGTCTAGCAGTCAAATCACAGCTCTACGTTCTGTAATCCAGGTCAGTGAGTGGCAAGAAAATCTGTGCGTTCTGTGACACCCCGCTGGGAAAAGGAGCGGCCATGATCATCGAGTCCCTCGAGCTCTGTTATCATTTGAGCTGTTTTAAGGTGAGAGTTGGACTCCTGTGGACTTGGGAGCACACCAGCGACATCGGCAGATCCTCGTAGACTAACCTGGTCCCTCAAAACTTTTGCTTGTTTCTAACACTTTGACAGTGACTACCACGTTTCAGCTGCACAGTTTAGATTATCTGCGCTGAAGCCTGTTTTCTAAACTATTCACTTTTCCTTTTTGAACAGTTTATCCTCACCGTTTGTTCTTCAGAGGACTTCACTCAGATCTGATCTTCTGTTTCTTGATCTTCTGTGCTAACCTTTTTCATTTTTCATCTTTATCTTTAAAGTCTAGGCCTTCAGTTTCTGTCCTCATCTCTCCGCCTGTGGAAACTTTAGTGAACTTTTCCAGTCGGGTAACCCTTTAACTCCCGCCCTTTTCTAAATTCACACAGTGTATCGACTGCAAGGTCGACCTCGGAGGATCTAAAGCGGGGACTGAAGTCAGAATACGAAACAAACAGCTCTACTGTAACACCTGCTACGTGCGATTCAAAAGTGAGTTCTTTAATCTGGATCAGCTCAGTGAGGTTTTGTTTTGAGCTAAATGAGGCTGTTGGTTATCTTTCAGGTGCCCAGCCAACATCAATGTGATGCCATCATGCTCCAGCAGATCGACGAGGAGACAACTTGTGACAACAACCCATGAACTTTTAAAATGGACCTTAAAGCCATCACATAAACCTGGTCACTGATGAACATCATTTGACTTATTGATGAAAACTGTATTTGTTACTACAGGATGTCAATGAAAATATTTCAAATAAATTATTTCCTAATTTCTTAAACTCAAACTTAAAAAAGTTCAATAACTCAGCATTCCTTGGAGTTTTTAACCGTTTTAGCTTTAAACCTACTCAAGTAAAAATAATCTGAAAGATTCCAGGGTAAAACCCTGCTTTGGAACTTTATTTAGACAGATTCCTAAGTTGTAATAGAGTCTTACAGGATCTTGTTTTTCTTTTCCTTCAAGTCTTGTGGTATTAACATATCTGTCAGAAGGTATTTTTGTCCTATCTATGTGGCTTTTCATTTTTAGTAAAGATAAGGAAATACGATTCTGTGATACAACATATTTAAAAAACAAAACATTACTTGGACAGATGTTTCCATCTTAAGATTATACATCATACATAATGAAATTAAGTCAAAGAGTATCATTGTAAATAATAATAAAAATCTAAATGCTCATCTTGTGTTTGTATAAGTTTTTCAGCTTCGCTGCTGCACAGTCCCGCTTCCAGAGATTTCAGTTTATGATGCAAAGCTTTTCCTGCCTCTGTTATCAGAAATCATTACTCTCATCTCTTTCGCTTTCGTTCGGTTCCTCTGTAGCTCCACAGTCGTAATGAAAGAAATTTCAATGAGCCTTTTGTGTTCGAGTTCAGAGGACGCAGCCTCCTCTGAGTTCTCCCGAGCCAATTTGTCATGCATTTTTTATTTGGTGTGCATGCATTACACTTGATTATGCTTTGATAGCTGTTTCCCTTAACACATCCTGTCATTCCAGCCACTTCACAAATTCATTTCTGTTTATATGCATTTATAGAATATAAAGGAGGAACACACCTGATTGACTAGTTTAAAGCTCCCAAGTGCATTTTGGACTGCAAGGTCAGAAATCTCAATTTAAGCAATATACTTTATGGAAATAAATGGGGCTGACTAATCCTTGGTTCAGTATTCTGGAAGTAAAGCGCAAGCAGTYCCTGGAGGCAGGCATCTCCACTTCTCTGAATCTTTTTTTAGATTTCTTTTTCTTGGCACTCTAGCAGCAGAGAGATTTTATTCATGCAACTTTTGAAAATAAACAGCCTGAAAGGTGCCAAGCACAGCAGACAGACTGGGAAATATAAGACTTTACTAAATAAGWATTTGATCTCTTTATTCTAAAGACATTGCCACACACTGCTCTGTGTGTGAAAACAGGTGTGTGTAAATGATTTAGTCTCAATGGAGATTATGGAAAACCTATGGTTAGCTCGTTTCAGTTTATTTTTACTTTTGAAAGCTTTTTAAGAAGCATGTTTAGTTTAACTTACATTGCCCTGAAGGTGGCAGTGTAAGATGTTTATTTTGTTTATGCTACTAATGAAAATGTTATCGCTGCAGTTAAATGAGTGTGATTGGTTGCACCACAATCCATTCATGAGAAATCCAACATGCTTCAGGGTATTTGAACCATAAAAAAAAAAATAAAACCTCACATTGTGTTTTATGTCAGACGTTTAGAAAATTAGTTTATAAATTAATGACATAATCTTGTATTTAACTTTTCATTAAGCTGAACCATCTAGTTTCTTTCAGATCAAAAGCAAAGATTTGACAATCCTGCCCSCCCCCGCCCCCCCCCCCCACAATAAAATAAAAATAAAAGCTTTTCCTATCCAAGAGGATAAGATGGATGAATGTACTTTTCCTTCATAAAACTTACAGGGTCTAAATTTCATTGGTGAATTGCTCTTTAAAAATGTATGACATGAATAATCTCTAAAAATATTTTTTTTTCTATAAACATAAATCCCACCTCACTGAAAGTGACTGCAGTACAGCTTTCAAATGAACAGATTATTAACAATTACACCTTTTGAACAATTTCATTTCAGTTTCTTCCCATAGATTACCTATTCAAACTGAATCTGTATTTGCATAATTTGAAGTTGAATGTGTTGGTTGGAAAATTAATATCACTAAATTGGAACTGACTTTAAAGTTTTGAATCTGAATTATTTAGCTTTGAAACTGTACTCATGAGACTGAACCGGTCCATGCCTACGTTGTCCTAAAGAAAGTCTCACTCATGTGAAACACAAGTCTGTCGATCTGTGTTGGATCACTCTGTGGTTTCCTCAAGGACCAGAATGTGTGAACAACTGAATTATAGAACTGGATTAACTCAAACTGATTTGCATTGATTTTCAAATTATGCAAATACAAATTCAGTCTTAACAATTCAAATTCAGTTTCTGATGGYACAAGTTTCTTCCCATTTTAAACATCCACTCTGTTGGTGTTGAAGCTCCTGCTCACAGAGAAATAAAAATTTCTTTTCTGTATCTCAGCTGTCAGAAGAAGCAGCACGCACAGAAATGATTACTCAGAACTTTCATTGTCGGCTGTGGGAAAGTAGAACAACAACTGTGAACTAAACATGCATATTAGTACTTTTAAAAACACRTAAGTGATTAGTTATATTTCTTAATGGTGGCATGTGGAAGAAATACGCTGTCAATATCTCACCTGCAGTAGACAGCAGTGCAAAATTAGTTTGGAGAATCCAAACAACGCTCAAGCTAGCATCTKCTCAGAGTTCATTTAACTGACAAATTTCACATGCATGCATCAACTGGATCTCCTCTGGAGACAGATCTCAGGAAAGAAATTCCAGTTTGGTGGCCAAAAAAAAAAAGAGCAAACCAAAAAAAAAAAAAAAACCCAGTTCATTCGTTATTAGTGTGCTTGTTTATTTTCTAATTATTGAATTGTGCAATTTTTACTGTAATTGGGCATTAAGATATTGAAGAGATTTGTTTAGTAGCAAATATTCAAACAAAAGCTTTGAAGGCTGAATGAAGTGGAGAGGAGTTCCAGCAAATGAACTTAAAATGCATTTCTTGAAATATTATGTGCTCCACTGCTCCCATGTTATTTTTTGCAAACCAAGCAATTTTTGTGTTGCTACACTAAATGTGTACACTGTAGTTTCTGTTCTTGTGTTTTACTGCTGATCAGCCAGCTGTGTCTTTTTAACTAACATTATTTCTTCTGGGTAATCTGGATCATCCAAATATTCTCTTATCTCACCAGAAAAACGTTATTTAGATATTATAATAATTTAAGATTTCACATGTAAAGTTGTTTATTAGACTTAGTTACAGTGGGTCTCTGCTGACAAGATGTAATTTCCACTCTCCACATGAACAACTGCTGTTTGATCAAATTGTGATGTAATCACTGTTCATTACACAAGTGAAGAGGAGTAAATCTAATTACTCAGACTGTCAGGAAAGTTCCAGGTTTGAGTGATTTGTGCTTTTGACTGGCTGACTGGAAATTTTTGTAAAACTTTTATCAAATGGTGTTTTTTATATTTAAAAGAAGCTCAGATGTTTACAACTGCTTTTCAAAATAAAGATAAAAAACTAACTTTAGTGTTTGCATGAATTCATTACCAAGTATGTTTGGAAGAGATGATGACATCACAGACTACTTCATGCAATCCTGTTTTTGATTTGTGCTATGAGCCAGAAACCCCAATGATAGTTGGTTTCTACAGATTAAAGTCTGGTTTCTAGTGAAAAAATGTAAATCAAATTAAAAACAAACTGCTTATGAAGAGTTAAAAGCCAAATACAGTGGGACGTCAAACTGTCACACAAGGAGAGCAAAATTTAAACCATAGTCTGAGCTCAGGGTCAATCTCAGTCTGTATTTAAAATCTGCGTTTTAAAATAATTCTTATAAATTATAACTATTTCTCCTTTACATTTTATGTAGCTTTTAGAACACAAAATAGACATATAAAAAATATCAAATTAGAAAGCCAATTAGCCTTGCTTTGTTATGCCTTATAAGCTTTATCAACAACTTTTATCATTGTAAACCTTCACACAAAATCCAATCATTTGACTTTGAAAAAAGAAGAAAATATAGAAAAAGTTAATTAAAACAAAGTCTCTGTTGTTCCACTTAGATATTCAACATATTTCATGGCTGCAAGTTTATCAACAAGAGTTTAACTGATCTTAAATGTTCTCTGTTGCTCTTTTCATTCCAAACTTTCAAACTTAATAAGATATATTTAATTGAAACCTTGTTTTCAGTTGAGAGCTTACTCCATCATTGTAACTTTTCTTCACACCCTCCTACGCAGCGATGCCTCATCAGAGAAAATGTTCTCTGTTGGTGCAGAGTTCACTTGTCAGGTCTGTCTGGACCCACATGGGCTTTTCTTTGGAGATGTCAGCTTCCTGTGACAGGTTAAAAGCACATGTGAGGTTAACTGGGTAGGGTGCACACTTACTGTAGCAGAACACAAAATACCTTTCTGCCTCTAAGGGACTGACTGGTTCTATGGAAATACTTTACAATAATATCACTGAAGAATTATTTCTGTGCTCATTCTCAGTGTATTAACTGTTTTTACCGTATGATTCTGTTTATTGTGTTACTGTATTTTGTTTCATTAGTCCAACCAACTGCCAGGACAATCYGATGATCATGTAATTTGCCTGTTTGTCTGGAAGCAAAATATSCCATGAATCAAGATATGAATTCATTGAAACCATTAAAGTAATCACTGGATGTACATCAACAACTGATAACTTTTGGAGCCAACTCCATTAACCCTAGGATGCATGGRCGACCAATACCCACACTCTTCCATAAGTGGGGTCAAAAATGACCTCAATTAGGATCGGGCCTCATGCAAGAACCGTTCGTACGCACAGATTTGTTCTTAAGTTGTGCGTACGAGTGATTTAGGAGAATTTGTGGCATTCACCAATGTTTTCGTATTCTAAGATTTTTTTCAGATACGAACAAAATTCACGAGTGGTCCAGACCTGTTGTATATTTTACCAGCAGTCAGTCTGCTGTTATCCAGATGGATTTTCCTCCCTAATAACTTTATATTTCATTAGTTTGAAGATATTTTGAGTTGAAAATAAATCACACTCTATAATTATGTTGACAATAGGCTATTCTGCTTGAATTAGAGTTATAATTTTAAATGTAATGATTTAGACTAACAATATAAATTGTCCGTTCGTCCGTTTTCTGCCGCTTGTTCAGGATCGGGTCGCGGGGGCAGCAGAGAGACCCCGCTCTCCCCAGTGACACCTTCCAGCTCGTCCTGGGGGACTCCAAGACGTTCCCAGGCCAGAGGGGATACATAATCCCTCCAGCAAGTCCTGGATTTTCTCCAAAGTGCCAGACATATTTCATTTCTTTAACAAACTGTGTCAATCTGCTGTGATTATTTTTGTTTGTTTGTTTCACCAGACAAGGTCTTGGGGGGGTAAACAATAACACCAAAACTAACACATTACCAAAAAGAACCATTCACATAGTGCTTGAGGCTGCGCATGTCTAAAGGAACATCGAAATGTTTCAGTATTTTTTTCTGTTTGAAGGTAACGGCTCAGCTCCAGGAGCCCCAACTGAACTGTGTGCACTTCACTTAGTGTTGA